CAGCTTTGGATCTGTAGGACCAGCCCCGTCACATGCTCCAGAGGTTCATAGACGGGTTCAAAGTTCCAGTGGACCAACTCAAAGCCCTGGATCTGCACCTGGGCCTGGGTGGTGGCTCTCCTTCCCTCGCACCATTGGGGCTAGCTCTCAGCACTGCCCGGCAAGGGCCCTGCTTACCCGAGTGCCAAAACCAGCAAAGCAGCAGGCCAGCTTTCACTCAGTTTACATCCTCAGGCCAGCCCTCAGACATGGTCCTAGTTGATATGATGATAACATGGGCCAGAGACATCAACACAGACCCCTGCTGCTGCAGGGCCATGAACCCAGACATGATCCTGCGTGGCTGCACAAGCCAGGACCTCACTATGGCCTCAGGTGGCAGTGCAGGCTGCTGACATCAGGTTCTTCACTACCCTCCAGTTCCTCCTGTCTTCACTGTGAGCACACCTTTCTCTCCCACCTCTCCACCACTTACTTGCACCTGGGCCTCTGAGTGTCCTCCGCTCCACCCTCACTGTGTGGCAGTGGGCAGGGTTTCTCCCATCTCATTCCCTGCCCTGTGCATCCTCAGCAACCACCATGTTGTTCTCTGCTTCTCTAAGATTGAGTTTTAGATTCCACGAGCTTGCTGCGTGCAGCTAACAAGGCTGTGTCCTTCTGTGCCTGGCTTGTTTCTTTTATCACATACTTCAAGCTGGGCAGTGGTGGAACATGCCTGTAGTCCCAGCACTCTGAGGGGCAGAGGCAGGCGGATTTCGGTGAGTTCAAGGCCAGCTTGGTCTATAGAGTGAGTTCCAGGACAGTCATGACTATACAGAGAAACCCTGTCTTGAGAACCCAAAAAATAATATCCTCTAGATTTTTTCTTGTCACCAATGATTGGATTTCATTTTTAAAAGCTTAACATTTCATTACATTTATAGATGAAATTTTTTATATCATTTTATCATATATATTCTTGAAGAAAAAAGTGAGGTAGATTCTCACTATTTAGCATCTGCTTCTCAAGTTTCTAGGCATGTGTGTCCCTAGAGCCAGAGTTACAGGTGATTGTGAGCTGCTCACCCTGGGTTCTGGGAACCAAAGAGGATCCGAGGCATGGCATTATACACTTTTTTAACTGCCTGGTCATCTCTCCATACCCTTGAGATAGGGTCTTAGGTAGTCCAGGCTAGCCTTGAACTTGCTGTGTAGATGAGGATAACCTTGACCTTTGGACCTCCCTGCTTCCTCTGCCCCAGTTCTGGGTTTGCAGATGCACACAGCCTCACTAGGTGTATGAGGTGCTGATGGAGCTCAGAGCTTGCTGCACTCACTAGCACCGGACTGAGCGACATCCTAGTGCTAAGTCTGTAATCCATCTCGAGTTGCTTTTTGCATGTTGGGTGAGTTAAGGGTATAGTTTGGTTTGCCTGTGGGAGGCCACCTGTCTCAAGACTTCCTATGGAAGAGACTAAGCTTTTATTGTGGCTGTTAGCGCCATTGTTGAGAATCTGTTGACTATAAATGTGAAGATTTATTTTATGGGTTCTGTTTTGTTCCATTGTGTATCGCCTTTCCGTTTTGGGGGTTGAGGTGGGGCAGAGGCAGTCAATACTGGGCTGGTTTGGAGGCAGAATGAAAGGCAGGGAAAATCTCTAGGACATGAGGAGAGGAGCCCCTCTACAGAAAGCAAGAACAATCGCCAGCTGCTTGAGGCCTTCCCCCTTCCCTTCTGTAAACTTGCAGTTTTCTAGAAATCCCAGAAACCACATTTACTGAGAAAGGCCATCTAAAACCTTGTGTAACCCTAGTGGCTTCTGGCTTTACCTTATCAGATTATAATCCCCCTCAAGGCAACTCTCTTGCCAAGAGACAAAGGGGGCTGGAGAGATAACGTCTCAGTGACTAAGAGCACTTGTAACTCTTGAAGAGGACCCAGGTTTGATTCCTAGAAGTCTGTGGAGGCTAACAAACCATATGTAACTCCAGTTCCAGGAGATCTGATGCCCTCAGGCATGTGTGCTATGCACACACATACATGCAGCCAAAGCATTCATACACAAAATAAAAATGAGTCTTTTAGTAACTCCTTGAAGTACCTTGAGAGACACCAGAATGGCCTATACAAGTAATGCTAAGACAACTGACTGCTTACTCTCCATTGAGGAGCCCAAATCCACACTTGGTTTGTGTGGGTTTCTTTCTTCTTAAGCTTATACTAAAATGTCTTCAATAAAAATCTCCTGACTGTGCTTGACAAACTGGCTAGTCCTGAAATTCTTTCCAGTGTTGAAACCATGAACCCTGATTTGGGCCCAGTCAAGGCCCTACAAGATTAGGGAGCTCCAGGCCGCTGAGGGTGACAATTGGGGTCTGTGTCTCTGTCCTTCCCCACCGACATCGTAGCTTGGTGATATGTTTGAAATTGGGGAGTTTGATACCTGCAGCTTTGTTCTTTTTCTTTAAAACTGCTTTAGCTCTTTGAGATGAATTTTAGGATGTAACAGTGATCCATTCCTTCCAACCCGCACACGTCACTCCATTTTGTTTTTACATCTAATGTGTATGAATGTTTTGCTGCATGTATGCACATGTACCATGTGTGTACCTGGCTCCTGCAAAGGTCAGAAGGCAGCGCTGGATTCTCTGGAGCTGGAGTTACAGGAAGTTGTGAGCTACCCTGTCCACTTCAAGAGCAGCCAGTGCTCATAACTGCTGGACTTTCTCTCTAGCCCCTCCCTCCTCCCTTGAAAGATTTATTTTTGTATGTAGATGAGTACTCTATTTGCATGTATGCCTACAAGACAGAAGAGGGCTTCCGATCCCATTATGATGGTTATGAGCTGGGAATTGTGAGAGGATGTGGTTGCTGGGAATTGAACTCAGGATCTGGATGAGCAGCCAGAGCCACTGCCTCTTCCCCTCCCCTCCCCTCCCCTCCCCGTCCCCCCCCCCCCCCCCCCCCCCCCCCGCCCCACCCCCAGCAAAA